CGATCCAACCAGGGGGGCCCCCAAGCAAACACACCGAGGCTGCCCAGACAGGCTACCCCACTGCTCAAGGGCAGATTCTCTAGCAAAATGCCATGAGGCACAACAAGTCCACAAAAAGCAAACATCAGCCCAGACAGTGCAGTTCCACTGGGCCCTTTCCTCAGAACTCCCTGTGCACACCCTCAGGTGGCCCTCCCCCCGGCTGGGTGCGGGACCCCCGGCTGCCTCCGTGCACACTTCGTCAGGCTCTCACCTTCTTCCTGGACATCACCTGCCCGCCCAGCCCTCAACTCCTTCGACTGCTCAGCACCCTGGCTGAAGAGCCCAGGGAACAGCAGGAGCTGGAGGCCCTCAGCCAGGTAGAGAGGTGGGACGGGAGGCAGTGGCAGGAAGCCCCGGGCAACGTCCTCTCTGGACTTTCTTCTAGCTGACATGCATTGGTGCTTTAAGATCCAGCTCCTGAGAGACTAACGGCTGTTTGGATTCTTGAGGTCTTAAAGAATTATGTCCTGGCCTGAACTGAGGAGGGAGAAACCCTAAGCAGACTCAGCTGGGGAGGGGTCAAGAAGGGAAGTCACCAGGAAGGGCTTTGGGGCTCCCAGCCCACTGCATACCACCCCACCAGGACCCCCGGCGCTATGAGGAGTGGAAGTGGTTCCGCTGCCCAACGCTGCTGGAGGTGCTGGAGCAATTCCCGTCGGTGGCGCTGCCTGCCCCCCTGCTCCTCACCCAGCTGCCCCTGCTCCAGCCCCGGTACTACTCAGTCAGCTCAGCACCCAGCGCACACCCAGGAGAGGTCCACCTCACCGTGGCCGTGCTGGCATATAGGACCCAGGGTAAGGCTGTCAGCAGGGACAGGCCTGGCCACAGCAGAGCAGAGACTGCTCTTCCTGGCCTCACTGGCCTCTCCTCCCCACCGCTAGATGGGCTGGGCCCCCTGCACTATGGCGTCTGCTCCACGTGGCTAAGCCAACTCAAGGCCGGAGACCCTGTGCCCTGCTTCATCAGGGGGTAAGTGAGGACTGTGGGGGGGAGGAGCACTAAGAGAGTGTCTGTCCAACGGGGGTGGAGAAAGTGCCACATGGATGGCTGGGGACAGATGGAAGAATTAGTGGGGGGTTGTACAGCATGGGGGGTAGCTTTGGGGAGGAACATTATTGGAAGTGGGAAGGACCTATGTAACATATCAAGGATGACGTGTTGTTAGGTCATTTCAGAACATTGGCAAATCTTGGGCCTCTCACTAATTTGGACTCAGGGTCCTGCCCTGAAACTACAATTCCCAGAAAGAGCTGGGAAAATACCAGCCAGCCCCATTGTGAAAGTGTAGCTTCTGGATTTCTCTCAACCTCCTTCAGCTCAGTCGGCTGTTGGGAGACATGGCACCTGGGAACTATGGTCCTCAAGTTGGGGGGAATTAGTCAGGGTAAAGACCACCCTTGGCCATAGTGTCACTGAAGACTCAAAAATGAAGTATTTTAGACCGGGCATGTTGGCTCATACCTGTAATCCCAGTACTTTGGGAGGCTGAGGCGAGAGGAATGCCTGACCTCAGGGGTTCGAGACCAGTCTGGACAACTTGGGGAGACCTCAAATCTAGAATAAATCAAAAAATTAGCAGGGCATGGTGGCACGTAGTCCCAGCTACTCGGGAGGCTGAGATGGAAGGATCGCCTGAGCCCAGCAGGTCGAGGCCACAGTGCCCGTGAGCATGCCACTGCACTCCAGCCTGGGTGACACTGAGACTCAAAAAAAAGTGAAGAATTTGAAGAGACTCTTTTCTTATGTATCCAGAAGTATCGCCCCCTCCAGCAACCAGGAGCCAAAGTCTTGGTAGGACAGAGTTTCCAGGAACTGGCATCCCAAACCCACCCAAGATTCTAAATTACAAATAAACTATACCAACGTACAGAATACAAACCAAATAACAATATTAAAGCTTTTAAAATAAACACACTGGGTGAACCCATTGTGAACAAGAAATGTGTCCTTCCCATTCCCCATTTTCTTAATCCCCTAAACTGAGTCATCTAAGTATTCTTCAATCCAAATTGAACTATATTTCCTTTGGCCCAATCTTCAGAAACTACAGATCCAGGCAATGTCTGCTTATAAACAGAGTTCTTTTTTTTGAGTCAGAGTCTCACTCTGTCTCCCAGGCTGGCGTGCAGTGGCAAGCTCACAGCCACTGCAGCCTAGACCTGCTGGGCTCAGGCGATCCTTCCATCTCAGCCTTCCAAGTAACTGGAACTACAGGCATGCGCCACCACACTCGACTAGTTTTTTTTATTGTAGAGACAAGGTCTCGCCAATTGCCCAGGCTGGTCTTGAACACCTGGGCTCAGGCAATCCTCTTGCCTTGGCCTCCCAAAGTACTGGGATTACAGGCTTGAGCCACCACGCCTGGCAGCAGAGTTCTTTTAATAAGTACTTAATCCTGCTTACCATGAGCCGGGCATGGTTCTAATGACTCTACAAGTATTAACTCACTTATCAATGGAACTTGGAATCTCCTCTCTCCACCTGCCCGAGGTTGGTAAGAATAGGAGAGCAGAAGAGGCAAAGGGGGTCTGACAGAGTCTCTTTCTGGCTAGAGCTCCCTCCTTCCGGCTACCGCCTGATCCCAGTTTGCCCTGCATCCTGGTGGGCCCAGGCACTGGCATCGCACCCTTCCGGGGATTCTGGCAGGAGCGGCTGCACGACATTGAGAGCAAAGGTGAGGAGAGGATGGGGGCTGAGGTACCGACTGGAAGACAGGAGGGAATCACACAATCTAGGGACAAAAGGGTAGGGCTGGAAAACAAAAAGCAGGTAGTAAAGGGAGGACAAGAAACTGAGGCCACAAAGGTGAAAAAAAGCTTTATTAGACCAAGGGCCTGGAGGGAAGAGCTAAGCCCTGTTTGTCTGGCTTCCTGGTGCCTGAATTAAGGACAAAAGAAAATGTTGGCTCAGGAGAGATGGGGCTGGGACTCAGAAGACAAAAGAAATGCCCCAGGTGAATTCTGGACTGTGCCAGAGCTCACCCAGGCAAGTCCAAAACCTAAGGAAGCCAAAGGGCGATGAGATTACCCTGGGTGCCCAGGGTAGTTTGTCAATTAAAAGAAGAGGGCTATGACTGAAAGGAAAGTTGAAAGTGTGAGAGAACAACGCAAAAGGCAATGAATGCTGAGTCAGAAGTCCGTGTTCTAGCCCAGCTCCACCACCGGCCACTCACCCAAGGGAAGTCACCCTTGAAGTCGTGTGAGTGTCATTTCCTTCTCTGTAACTCAGGGATGTGGTGGGGTCTCTGTGAAAGCATCCTGCATTCTCCTAGAGACCAAACAGCCAAAATAGTGGTTGCTGCAGCCCAAAACGCTGGGCTGTCAGCCTGACCAAGGGTGGCCAGTGGGGAGGCTTCGCTAGCGTCCCGTGTTCCTTGCAGGGCTGCAGCCCGCCCCTATGACTTTGGTGTTTGGGTGCCGATGCTCCCAACTCGACCATCTCTACCGCGACGAGGTGCAGGACGCCCAGCAACGCGGCGTGTTTGGCCGCGTACTCACCGCCTTTTCCCGGGAACCTGACAGGCCCAAGGTGTGGGACTCTGAGGGCGCAGGGGTACCCGAAGACAGGCAGAGAAAGAAGGACTTTTGGGCTCTCTGGCGGAGCGAGCTGGCGTGGGCCCAGACCCGACCCCTCCCAGCCCACACCCTGCCCCAGCCCTTCCGCTCTCACCCACGAGCACTCAGCCACCCGCCGGCACTCAGCCGCTCCGACTGCTCAAGGCCCTTCTGGGCCCGCCCACCTCTGCAGCTAAGCCCCGCCCCCTGGCGTGGGTCCGCCCCCTAGACCCCACCCCAGGGCACGCAGGCCCCTCCTGATCCTCTCCCGAGTCTTTTCACACCCAGGGCCCGCCCCGATCCTACCTCCCTGCAGACTTATGTACAGGACATCCTGAGGACGGAGCTGGCGGCCGAGGTGCACCGCGTGCTGTGCCTCGAGCGGGGCCACATGTTTGTCTGCGGCGATGTCACCATGGCAACCAGCGTCCTGCAGACGGTACAGCGAATCCTGGCGACGGAGGGCGACATGGAGCTGGATGAGGCCGGCGACGTCATCGGCGTGCTGCGGGTGCGGAAGGGTGGGGCCGAGGCGGGGCGGGGGCGTGGCCCAGGCGGGGGCCGGGCGCCAGGCGTGCCGGGTTCCCGCTGCGGTCTGACTCGGGTTCTCTCCCGGCAGGATCAGCAACGCTACCACGAGGACATTTTCGGGCTCACGCTGCGCACTCAAGAGGTGACAAGTCGCATACGCACGCAGAGCTTTTCCTTGCAGGAGCGGCAGTTGCGCAGCGCAGTGCCCTGGGCGTTCGATCCGCCGGTCCTAGACACCTCCAGCCCATGAGAGCCTTCTGGCTTTCCCCTCCCGTTCCCAGAGAGAGGCGCTGTCGCACTCAGATCGGCCTGACCAGGACCAGCTGCCTCTCTGCCCCCTCTTGAGATGCCTTCCTGCATCTGTTCAGAGGCTACAGAGATTCTGCCTTATTCCGCCAGGAATGAATGAAATGTCTTTCTCTAGGCCTGTTTCCCCTGGCCTGTGTCTGCCTAAATCTGGGAAAGCCCCTCCCAGCAGTGGTATTCCAAGACCTAGCACTACCCTCTTCGTGTTCCTTAGGTGAATTTTAGATTCCCCTTACCTCTCAGGAGTATATTACTTTTAAAGCCTAATCTCTAAATCAAATATTTATTATTAAAGATTTGCCATAAGACTGTGCCAGATGATATGAGAAACACCAAATGCCTAACCCGACCCATGTTGATCACAATTATAAAATGACAAGTTTTGTTTTAATCTGTGTTGATGTGGATGTTAGAGTGGGGATCATTCTAAAAACATGGTTCCAGTCAGTCCCGGGCAGTTCTCCTTTGTAGTTCCCTTGCTCATGATTGAGAAAGCAGGTGCAGCCCTCAGCTGTCAAAAGTGGGAGATGCTAGAGACAACATCACAGAGATAGGCAACACAACTATGAACAATCTTTACTGCTTATGTCATACAGGATGAGGTGCCACACCCGCTTCCTCAGACATCACACCAACGCTGAAGTCTAAAAACATCAGCCCTCTCTGGTCTATCCACTCACAAGTCCCCATCCTCCATCAAGTCCCATGGGAAGATGAAAGCAAGGCCAGCATGAACAATCCACTGCCTTTCAGATCACATGCCTTATTGTTTTCCTTAAATTTATCTTGAGATCCACCTTGAGAATATATACTCAGGGACTTCTTCCCAGGCAGCTGCTCTGTGACAGCTAGTTGGGAATGTGTCCTCTTATCCCCTCCATGAGAGGACCATCTCTCAGACTTGTTTCCAGATGCCATCAGCATCTCCTCTCCTACCCTTTCTCTCTTCTCAGGGGCGAGTTCCTCACTGACCCCCAGATCCTGCATCCTGGGCCTGTTGTATGTGGGGAGGCCTCTAAAGATGGCTCCGTGTATCCTTCCACTCCATCCTGTCCAATCTCCTGTGGCTTCAGAAGCCAGGAGCCTGTGAAAGGAGAAGGCTCTTGGTAAGCAGTTCTGGGGTCTAAGTTCCAGAGATGACCATCCCACATCACCCCACATTCCCACCACTGTTCCCATCCCTCTAAGTTTGACTAGACACCAGTGTTCTATTCAGTCCTTTCTCCCGCCCTATCATGTGGGCAATACTGACCCTGTGTAGTTCTCTCAGTCAGTGCCATGGGCCTGGCCAGGCTCCTTCTTGGCGTCTGTGGTCCCCTGAAACCCTCCACGGAACAGATTCCTGGTCCTCTGGGTTCCCCATTGCTGTCTAGGGCTGGAGGCAGGGCTGGAACCTGATGACAAAAGCCATAAGCTGGGCAATGCCATGAATTCCCATGTCCACCCAGGCTCTGCCCTCTTAATGTCCTGCCCTCCTCACCATCACTTGACCAGGAAGGCTTCTCTTCATCAGGTGAGGGTGGCTGCGAGGTGCTGGAGCAGGGCCTGGATAGGGCAGAGGCTGATGCCTCCCCCCACAGTTCCTGCTGTTGCTGCTGATGAAGCTAGATGGAAAGGAGGAGGAATGAGGGCAAGGTCAAGCCCCTAGGCTAGGTGCAGAGGACTTTTAAACCTCCTCTCCCAGCTCCTGGTAGGTACTTTTTTAGCCTCTACCCCCTCCTCAGTCCCCTCACATTTCTCCTTTTGGCACCCCTCTGCTCACCTGGTGCAGGTAGATGGCATGGAGGCTCATCTCAGCAGAAGCAAGCTCTGGCAGCTGGGCCAGCTTCTGGCCTCCAGTGCCTCCTGGGGACACACAGCTGGAACACAGGGGTGCAGTAGGTCAAAAAAAGATGTGTTCCAGCTGTGTGTCCCAAGGGGGGGGCGTGGCTGAATCTCCCCTTCCAAATTTCCCCTCAGTGCCCCAGCTCCTTCCTCCAAGAGGATCAGCCCCATTCCCCCACTCCCCTTCATCTCGGGCTTCCACCCCTCACCTGGGGTCCTGAGCAATGCGGGAAAGGGAGGCAAGGAGGCTGGCTGTGGCTGCAGCTGGACAGGGGGCTGTGGGGCTCAGGTCTCTTGGGGGCAGGAGGGGGTTCACCAAGAGGTTGGCCAGGAAGGCCTCCGGCTGGGAGCAAGAGAAGGGGAGAAGCTGAAGAGGAAGTCAGAAGAGAGGACAGAAAGGGAGGGGGAGGGAGGTTTAAAGAAGGCAGCAGAGCAGTCTGGGGAGAGCCAGCAACACAGGTAGGTCACTACCAAAGGCAAGGCTAGAGGACGAAGGAGGGTTGAGGATGAGGGCAGAGGAGACCGAGGCTTGGGACTCACCAGAGGTGAGGTGCAGTTGCTGAGCACCCCAGGGGTGGGAGGGCTGCGAGCTGAGGTGGCGCCCCAGGCAGCTGCATCTTGTTGTACCCGGCCCCGAAGGTGCCCAAGGAACTTAGAGCTGTGCCCTGGGGGCCGCCATAGCGGATGTGCCAGGGAGAACCGCATCAAAGAGAGCTCAGTCTTGCCATCCTCTGCTCGCTGAGACAGCGAGGCCTCTGTCTGTCCCGCTGAGAGCCACTGCAAGCAATGACAGTCCTTTAAATGCTGGGGACATTGAGTCTTAGAGGATAGGCGGGACAGGAAACACTGTCACATGTTCCATGTAAAGGAAATGGAGGCCATGATGAGGACCTGCTCAAGATCACCACCAAAATACAGCAGCAGAGCAGGACCTGGATCTAGACCCTGCTCAGGGAGATGGCCGGCCTTGACTCTTTGCTCATTTGTGCAGATCAGGTCCTCAGGGTGGGCCTGACAGCCTTGGTCTGGAAGCTGGTCCTTACTCAGCCTCACCCACTGGCCAGCCTCCTTTCTCTGCCCCTCTGGCTATCTTTGCTTCCATTTACTGATGTTACTATGTTCCAGCGACTCCATTAAGGGCTCTACATACATAATCTCATGTCATCCTCATGAAAAGTCTGTGCATTGGCTACTGCCATTGACTTTATTTGACAGATGAAGACGCTAGAGAGCAGGGAAGTGAAGTGTCTTGCACAAGGTCGCAGGTGGCAAGTAATGGAGCCTAACTGGAACCCACGTTTGCTTCCAGTGAGGGAAGAAAACTCCCACCAAGCACAAACCCACAGCCAAGGAAGGACTAACCTGAGGATGGCCATGGCGCTTCACATCCATAAGGGCAAAAGAACAGATGTCTCCAACTCCAGCTACATCCACAGTGAAGTGATGAAAAAAGTCAATAATCTCCAGGGAACGAGGGCGGAACCAGAAAAGCAGAAATAACGGTGTGAGGAGGGGGGACAGGAGCTCCTCCAGGAGGGAGACCTGGGGAAGCAGGGGTGAGGCTGAGCAGGGGTTGCTGAGGTGTCCACATGAGTGATCAGGGACAAATGGGCCCCCAGAAACACTCGCCAGGACGAGAAGTCTCCAATCCATTCACTCCCTATGCTCTCGGGATGGCCCGTTTGTCCCATGCCCTCTCCCAGACAGACCACTCCGGATGCACAAGCCTCCTGAGCCCGCCGTCGGGCCAGCCCCTCACCGCTCGGTATTGTAACAGCTGCGCCATCTGCCGGTACGCGCTGGCCCTGCCGCCAGGACCGGGCTCCTCTGGGAGGTAGTGCATGTGGGCCAGTGCTGCCTGCAGCAGGAGCTGCGGAGCACGACCCTGGCACTGCTCCTCTGGAATGAAAGACCTACAGGGAGGATCCGGGGTGAGAAAAGGGCCAGTGGTTAGGAGGACGTGTGGTGGGATGCAGGGCTGGGGAAGCTGGGGGGAGGAGAGGTAAGGATTCGAGAGGTGTAGATGGGAGGATGTTCTTAAAGCCCCAGATCAGAGAAATGGAACACACACCACCACCACCACTCCCAGGCGTCTGCCGTCGCACCTGGCCACGGTAGCCGTGACCCCGAGCACCGTCATGGCGGTGAGCACGTGCTCCACGGCAAGCACGTCCTCATCGTAGACCGTGAGCACAAGCAGCGCAGCAAAGAGCGCGCCGGCGAAGAAAACCAGCTGGCGGGCCAGCAGCGCGCGCAGAGGCGCGGGGGGCGCGGCGGCGCACAGGAAGGCGGTGGCAGGGCGGTAGGCGCGGGCCAGGCGCGCGCGCAGCTCATGTGGTAGCTCATTGAAGTGGCGCAGCTGCAGGCGCGCCAGGCGGGACCAGCGGCGCGCCCCAAGTGCGCCGGGTTCGCGCCGCAGCAGCTCCACGTGGCTATAGAAGGCATGCAGCACCTGCCAAGCCAGCACCAATGGGCTCAGCGCCAGGTTCAGGGCGGCCAGCAGCAGCACCGTGCGCCTCCAGCGCGCGGCCAGGACGCCCCTATGGTCGCTGCGCTTGTAGGCGTCGGGCAGCTCCCAGCCCCCACGGAAGAGCGAGAAGGGTCCTCGGAAAAACAGCAGGTCGACATTGAACGCCAGGCCGCGACTGAGGAAGGCAGCGCTGCCTCCCCAGGGCAGAGGACAGCGGGCGGGCAGCAGGCCCTTGTTGGCCAATGCCACCTGGTAGTTGGTGTAGCGCAGGATGCGGTGGTGGACGTCCAGCTCCGTCAGCGGCCGTGGCTGCACGCACAGCCCCCCACTCTGCTGCAGCGCCAGGAGGCGGGACTGCACCTCCGCCCAGGGCACAGAGCTGAGCTCCTCCTAAGGAGAGGGGGACTGGTGAGCGCCAGCGACCCTCAGTCCTCCCCGCAGAGATGCCCAAGCTCTGTCCCCAAACAGGCTGGCCTACAAACTACCACAAATTCACCGAGACCAAGCTATGTCCCTCATCCCCTCATCATCTCCCTCTCCACCTTTAGCTTTCTGCCCTTCCTTCACCTGTCACTAAAAGGCACTTCCTACGTCCTCTCTTCTGAATTGCTCCTTTCTTCATCACCCCTGCCATTCATGTGGCCACGAGTCATACGCTTCCTGGTGACACCTCTTTTGTAAACTCTCCAGGTGTTGTACCTGGCTTCTTAGTCACCTCAGTTTGAGGCTCCCTAAGTTGTACACACAAAACACAGAATGAATGTCTGGCATTTCACAGGGAATCTCTCCTTCCTGTTTCCAGTATGCCCGCAAACTCTGGGCCAGAATCCTCACCACCTTCTGCCTTGTAGGCGTTGGGCACTGTGCACTCTGTCACCAGATTAACCTTTCCAGGACCTTTGTGGGTCCATGTCAGGCTTCAGATGGAAGCAGCAGACACTATTAAGGAACAGGACAACAGGAGAGACCCAGGGACCCAGTTCCTGGGATAAACATCTCACCCCAGCTGGAAGACATCCTCCATAAAAAATGCTGGGGTGGGTGATTGTGAGATCTCATTTGGAAAGCTGCAAACCTCATTTTAGCCCAGTTTCATGCAGCTTCCCCAGTCCAGGTTAGTCAAGTCCCTCCAGGCCAGCCTCTCCAGTTCATCCCAGTGTCTTCCCTTCCCCTAGAAGGAATGGGAGAGGAGGGGAAAGAAGGGAGAAGGAGAAAGAGAAGGTTCGGCAGCCTCCCACAGGAGCTCTCCCGTTTCTGCTTCATTGGCCTCCTCACTCCCCCCCTGCTCTGTGCCTGGCGCTTCCCCTACTCATGGGCCTTCTAGAACTTCTCCCCTTGCTGTACAAGAGGGTTGTGCAGAAGGCTCTGGACTTCTAAGGGGGAGCAAGGGAAGCGTGCTGCAGAAGGTAGCCATTGAGCTGTGCCTTAAAGAAAGAACCTAAGTACAGAGCAAGAGGGAACAGAGGCAAGATGGAGAGGAAAGAAAGGGCAGAGTGTAACTGGGGGACAGTGACAAGGCCAATGTAGTGGCTTCCTGCAGGTGGGGCAGGGGGATCATCCAATGGGGGCCTTGAAGGCTGTTTTAGGATGGTGGGTCCATCTCCTCACTGAACCCTCCAGATAGATGTTCACGGCTCTTCCCCACCTTCCTACACTAGGGCTTGCAATGTGCTTCCTTCCCTTTCTGTCCTGTCCATCCAAGCCCAATCCAAATTCTTCCTGCTCTGGAAAGCCAGATGACTGCCCTTCCTCTAAATGCCCATTGTTTTTAGCACAAACATACGAGGGTAAGTCATTTTATATGAGCCATCTAAGTAAACTAAGCTCCCCTAGAGAAAGACCATGCTTTCTAAGAGGTGGTACCCACCTACTGACATTATTCTGGGGCTAGGGCAGGTGTCAATAAGGTCTTGCTCTTTCTACTCTCTTTCCAGTCGGCCCTTTCATCTGCAGAGCCCCCTCCATTCCTCCATTCCCATCATGGCACCCTCCACATAGACATGTCCACCCAGCTTACCGGGGGGATGTGGAGGGCCTCCCTGTAAAACACTCGGATGTCCCAGTAGCTGAAGAGGTTGCAGACTGAGCGAAGCAGCTGGACCAGCCAGAAGCCTGCAGCCAGGACCAAGAGGAGGACCAGGAGAGGGCTGGAGCGGATCCTATATGGGATTGGACAGGTAGTGGGGGAGAAAGTGGGAGCCTGAGAGAGGGAGACCAGACAAGGGGAGCAGGGGAAAACAATTATGGGGAGAAGGAGTCCGGCTAGACTAGTAGTTCTCAAAGAGGGGTCCAGGGAGATGGTCTCCAAAAAGGCCCTTACAAGTGTCTGAGAAGTCAAACTTGTTTCATTATTTAATTTTTTGAAAAGCACTTTTTATGGAGATGGGATCTCGTTATGTGGCTCAGGCCAGTCTTGAACTCCTGGCCTCAAGCAATCCTCCTGCCTCAGCCTCCCAAAGTGCTGGGATGACAGACATGAGCCACCATGCCCGGCCTATTTAATTTTTTTTTTTTTTTTTAGTTTTTCTTTTTATTACAATAGAGACAAGGTCTTGTTATGTTGCCCAGACTGGTCTCAAACTCCTGAGCTCAAGCAATCCTCCCATTTCAGCCTCCCAAAGTGCTGGGATTGCAGGCGTGAGCCACCATGCCCAACCCAAACTTTTTTCCAATAGTACTAATGCTTTCTGCTGTTTTGATTATTGTTCTTTCATAAGTACAAAGCAGAGTTTTCTAGAGGCTACAAGACACGTGAAAATGTCACGTCACACTGACAGCAGATGACAGTGTTCTTGTGCAGTCTTAGCTTTTAAAGTTATTCTCAACTTTAATTTCTAATAAGGTAAATATAGACAGATATGACTCTCATAAACAAAAGCTCTGTGGGATTCTCAATCAATTTTAAGTATATCAAAATACATTTAGTACACTTCATTATATACGGTTTACAATTACAATTGTAAATTTACTATTGTGCTTAATTTAAAGTATATTTTTTGTTCTGAGACCGAAAACTTTGAAAACTGCTGATCTAAACCAGGGGACAAAGGGCGGCTCCTGTCTGTTCCTCTCTTCACCTCATGTGCTTCGCCCCCAGAGCCCCACCAAGTTGTCACTCACCTCTCAGCACACTGGGCTGAGGGTAGGATGGCATCAGACAAGGTCACTTTGCTGGGGAATGGCCCAGGTCTGGTACGGTTATTTGGTTGGTTGGCGAAGAGAATGTTGTAATCCACGCAGCGAAGAAGGAAGGTTGTGAAGGTGACAATGAAAATGAACTGTCTGGGGGCAGGGGGGCAGGGATCAGGCCTGAGAGCCAGGTAGACTCCTGCCTCAGCTCCCAAGCCAGCCTAGAGTCATCCTGCCCCCACACCTCACACTCTCGGAGCCCCTGAACTGCTTGGAAAGGCTTCAGATGGAAGCAGCAGACACTATTAAGGAACAGGACAACAGGAGGGACCCAGGAACCCAGAGCCCAGTTCCTGGGATAAGCATCTCACCCCAGCTGGAAGATATCCTCCAACAGGATACAGGTAAAGCCATTCCGCTGGTGGTAGCTGTAGATGTGGCAGCGCATCAAGGAATCAGCCTGAGGTACCATGGACCTTTTCCGAGGACACCTCCCCTCACCCCGCCAAGTCCTCCACTGACACCCTCATGGAGACTCCCTGCCAAGAACCATGCCAGCTCCAAGAAGGGCTCTGCCATGCCACCTCTCCAGGCCTGGCTCAAAGGATATCTTGGTGAAGAAGCTGTCCAGGTTCTGGATGTGATGCCAGGAGCCTGGGCACAGTGGGCAGAGTGTCAGGCTTTGGCATTCTCATCCGAGTGATCAATTCCCCATGCGCTCAACCCAATGCCAGAGGCCCAGCAAGCTCCTAGGCCCCCGCAACCCACTCCTCCCCACCACACACACACCCACACACAAACACACTCACCCCGGAGCCCTTCGGGCACATGAAGCAGAGGTTGCTGTTCCTCCCCATGGAAGTGGGAGTCTTGGGACCCCTCAGGGTCACAGTCCTCCAGTCGCTCATAATCCTGCTCAGGGATTAGAGGGCCTATCCGCAGCCCAGGAGGGTCCTGGGGGCACCGGTGTGCGGAAGGTGGGGTGGAATGGGATCCCCAGGAGGGGGAGGCAGAGGCAGGTGTCACTGCGGGCCCTGCCTGTGTTGGGGGCGTGGCTGAGGTGGGGAGAGCACTGTGACAAGGCTGAGAAGCTCCTGTCCCTTGCCGCAGTGAGCAGGGAGATCCCAGGGTGGGTGGGCAAAATGAAGAGGAGGAGCTTCTTGTATGAGGGGCAGAGGACAGAGAGAAGACGGAGATCCTTCCTCCCCCAGGTCCCCGGCATGGAGGAGGAGGAGGAGGCGGGGGCAGTGGCATAGGGAGGAGGGGCACTGATCCAGGCCCCAGGTCTCCCCACCGCCCCATCCGCCCCCTGCTCCGCCCCCAACTCCTTCGGCTCACCATCAGGCTGCGGCTTCTCCAGCGACGTTGGAGGGATGGGAGCTGTTGATGCCTTCACGGAGGTCTGTGGAGCTGAGCAGGGACTTCAACAAGGACAATGATAACAACAGCACTAGGTGACTCAGCTGGGGCAGGCCTCAGGTGTCCCAGCTCTCAGTCACCTGTGTGATCACTCACACCCTGCCAGGGCAACCCGGGGCCAAACCTCTCAGGGCCCAGCCTCCACACCTGGGCGGGGCAACAATTTAAGAGGCCAAAGAGCACCTTGAGACAACAGAGGATACCTACTGTCCCTATCTTCAGACCTTGAGTGAAAGAAAGATAAAGAGAACGGCAGCCAAAATAACAAAAGCAAAAATCAAAATTCTATCAAAGAGTTGGGTATGGTGGTGTGTGCCTATAGGCCCAGCTACCCAGAAGGTTACGGTGAGCTATGATGGCTCCACTGCACTCCAGCCTGGGCAACCAAATGAGACTCTGTCTCAAAAAAGAAAAAAAAAATCCTATTAAAGGATTGTAGAATCTTGGGGCCAAGATGTTAAATCTTTCATTTCCTAAAATCTTACCCTCCTTCCCTCTACACACAGTTACAGTGATCAACAGGAAAATGCTTTATGACCAAAATAGAAAGAAAAAAGAAAAAGAAAAGACTGCAGGTTTTGTTGATTTGAGGGTGCTAAGGCAGGGAAGAGGGGAAACCAGTTGACTTTGCAGCCAAGTTGGGAGAAACTGAGGAGAGGAGGAAGTGGAGAAAGGAAAGGCAAGTATCTTGGATTTGAGAAGTGGGGTAATGAGCTTAAAGTAGAAGAATGGGGTTCCTTGGAAGTTCCATTATGTTTACTTCCTTATCCTCTTGAACCCTCACACTGTCTCCTCCAAGTCCTGATCCAGTTTCTGGGACTCCCTGAGAAGCATCAGGACTGAACCAATGGCAGAAGAGGGCAGCTGAGGGTCCAGGATTTGAAGAGATAATTTGAGTACCCAGGGAAGAGCTGACAGAGTTGAGTTCCTTGGTGGGTCACCTCAACAAGGAGGAAGAGGGCTAGGCAGCTGGTCTGGTGGCTTGCCCAACGCCATTCTTGAGGCCCTGAATCACCAGGTTTCCTCCTGAAGCCCATTCCTGAGATGCTGACTCAGCCACCAGGTGTCAAGTCCTTCAGAGCTTACTTAGGCCCAAGAGCTGATGTTCAGGGTAGTATCCATGAAATGGAGAAGGTGACATCGTGCTTCCCAGAGTGTTCACCAGAGGCAATCATGGAATCACCCACAAAACCTGAATCCAGGTGTGCCTGTTCTTCTCCTTCAATGCCTCCTTCTTTCCGTGTGGGGAATCATCACAGTAGCTCAGGACTTGTATACCTTTATACCTGAGCAGGAGACAGAGCAATGAAAATAAGACCCAGCCCTTCTAGAGGTAGCAAAATGGAATCCCACATTGCAGAGGAGCCAGGAAATTCCCATAATTTTTCTCAGACATCTGTCAAGAAGGGTTATGTGGCGTTTTCTCTCATCTCTCCCCCACCTCTCACCCAATATCATGGCTATTCCACCATACCCACACAAGAACCCTGCTCTACACACCCATCCTGAGCTCCTCAGCCCAACCTCAAACTAATCCTGATACATTGTCATACTCAGCCCCATTCTAGATTCATTCACTGGCAGCCTCCCTCCCACCCCCCACCCCCTCCAATTCAAGTCCATTTATTATGAAGGACACTTTTCTCGCCAAGCATTTGGAGAGGAAGGGGATAGATGAAAGAAGCAGAGTCAATACTCAGCGAGAAGTCACAGCCCAGTGGTGAGCCAGATATTCAAACAAATGATTACACAGAAGAAATAACAGAGGTGCAAGCTGTTCCCGTAGGAGCCCGAGGCAAGTCATTCTGACCCTGGCAGGCGAGGCAGACATCTGTGGGGGAGAGAGATCTGAAGTCGCACCTTGATATACTCCAGGATCTCCATACCAAGAGTTCTTAATAGTTGAGGAGTAGGACAAGTGTCAGAATCACCAAAAGAGTTACACTCCTAGGTACACGTGACAGGCGTCCCAGGAGTTCTACTGCACCTAGGAGAATGGAGTGGGTGGCAAGGCACCGGCACGTGTTTTGAAAAAACTCTCAGTCGATTTTTGTTCATTCCTCCCCCCAGAGGCAGCGCTCTACACTTCCAGTGACTCCAGAATAGCTAGAGATCCTAGGAAAATGGCCCGAGGTCAGCGGCTGACGCGTTACTATGGATACCCCGGGGGTGGGGATAAGGACGGCGCACACCCTCGGCAACGTGCCGGGTGGGCGAAAGCCAAGGCCCTTTCCTGATCGGCCCCGCCCAGAGCTGGGGGCGGGCGGATAGGCGATTCTCTCTAATCATGGTTCCCGGAAGAGGGCTTACAACATTTTCTCCAATCACAGCTTACAATGAGATTGATGTGTCTTTCCGCCAATCATCGCCGAAGCGCGAGGGGTTTGTTGGGATTGGAGCCGGGGCCAACATGGAGCCCTCTGTGGAACGAGGGTGAAACTGCTGTTGCCGACTGCGCTTGTTTTCCCGCCCCAGAATGTTGGTGCATTTATTTCGGGTCGGGATTCGGGGCAGCCCTCTCCCAGGCAGGCCGCTACTTCCCTTCCGCTTCCAGACATTCTCAGCCGTCAGGTAAAAAGGGACAAACCTCTTCTGAGCGCGGGCCCTTGACTGGCCGGCAGGTCTATGCCGGGCCCGCTGGGAGATGGAGTCCCCAGGCGCAAGGGCTGCTGGGAGTTGTAGGCTAGCCCGACCAGGGGTGGAATGTCACTCCCCGGGGAATTGGCTTCAATTATTTACAGTGACAGTACAGGCGTCAACAGGAGGTTCCGCGCGTCTTTGTCCTTGTGTCGGCCGGAGTGACAGGACTTTCCGGGTCAGTAACACGCCCAGTCCGCCCTGCCTACTAGAAGGCGCCATCCCCGACTCCGTCCTTTCTCTTTGGAATTGATCTGGCGACTTGGACAAAAATTGCTATTAGTGTTGAGCAACACTTAATATTGGTGGTGCTCCTAAGATTTAAAGCGAGCCGAATGAAAATGGTTTCTAGAGCTGGAGACTTTCAGCAGGGATAGAGTCCGTCTATAACTCGTACATGTGTTCTTGGCAAAACACTACAGACGTCGGCCAGAGAGGGAAAGAGAGAGGTGGGTGGGAAACAAACAAGGACCCTGAAGCTACAACTCGAATGTAAATGCTTCATGAGAAGGACCGATTCCCTTCTAATCTTGGAATGAGGGCTAAACAGCAGAAGATTCCCAAGGGCCAGTGGATATGGAGTTGTTTCCCTTGGAAATAGATCTGCTTGATAGAGAGCAAGAGCTGGAGCAAGCAGGAGCTGGAAGTACTGGTGCTGGGAAGTAATCTACCAGTTCTTGGCAATGGCCAAGCTCTTCTTAGAGTCTTAGTTTGGAGATGCTGAGAGAAGCTGGAAAGTGGCCATAGTAAATTATTGAAAAGTTTGAAAATAGTCCTTAGGAAAAAGGAAGGGTGTTGATATTATTTAAGCCAGAGAGAAGAAACCCAAGGTAAGACATCAAATAATATTCAAGTATATATACATTCGTTAGTTGGTGTGTTTGTTTGTTTGTTTTGTTTTTTGAGTAGGAGTCTTACTCTGTCACCCAGGTTGGAATGCAGTGGTATGCTCACAGCTATCACAGTCTCAATCTGCTGGGCTCCCTAGGTAACCCTTCCACCTCAGCCTTCCAAGTAACTGGAACCACAAGCGTGCACCACCACACCTGGCTGATTTTTTTGATTTATTGTAGAGATGACGTCTCGCCAAGTTGCCTGGGCTGGTCTCAGGCAGTCCTTTCGCCTCTGCCTCCCAAAGTGCTGGGATTTCAGGTGTGAGCCACTGTGCCCAGTTAGTTGGTGTTTTTCAATGGATCATTAAATGAATTTAGTGGGTCAGGACCATTGAAAAGTGAATATAGGCCGGGCACAGCGGCTCACGCCTATAATCCCAGCACTTTGGGAGGCTGAGGTGAGAGGATCGCCTGAGCCCATGGGTTTGAGACCAGCCTGGTCAATTTGGCAAGACCTCATCTCTACAATAAACCAAAAAAACTAGCTAGGCGTGGTGGTGCATGCCTGTAGTTTTAGCTACTTGGAAGGCTGAGGCGGAAGGATCGCCTGAGCCCAGCAGGTCAAGGCTGCGGTGGCCTTGAGTGTGCCACTACACCCCAGCCTGGGCAACAGAGTGAGACTCCAACTCAAAAAGTAAAAACTAAAATTTTTTAAAAAGTGAATATAATAGAAATTATCAGAATACACCAAAAAATTAGTGAAAATGTTTTGTGAAGCATTTCAACTTTGTATGACACATATATGTTCACTGTACTGGATTGTAATATAAGATGTGTTTCTTATCATTGGCCATAGACATCTCAATGATTGCAGAACACTGCAGTAGTCAAGTTAGATTGTTCTACATTTCTAATGAGGGTGTACGTGGGCTCTACAAACATTTGCTGAACATCTGTTATATACCAGAGCTCTGCTAAGTGCTAGGGATATAAGATATAGCTTCCTGTCCCTCAGGAACCCTGTAGTCTAATGGGAAAATTGGACAGTTACACAGTGCAGAGAGAGAGCTTCTCTTTTTAATTTTTTTTTTTTTTTTTTAGTTGGAGTCTCACTCTGTTACCCAGGCTGGAGT